TAATATTTTAAAGTTGAGAGCTTTCACATTTTAAAAAAATCCGAATTTCCAGCTTATAATAAAAATAATCTCAGAAGGTTTGTCAAATGCCCTAGTATCTGCAAAGTAACAATTGGCTAAGCTAAATCAGCTTACATTCTTTAACAATACATCTCGTCATAGCCCCTACCAGGCCTGGTTAATTCCTTGTTTCCTTACTAGTCCCTACAGGCATCTGAATTTGCAGCCTCTTTAAATCTGTTCAACAATTATGAGTGAAAGAAGGGTATAAGTAGAATAAAGAGGAGAGAAGAGCAGGGAACTTAATTTCTATTAATATTCTGCTGAAAACAATTTATTACATATACAGAACAGAAAGTAATCTAACTTATTTGAAATTTGTGGATAACATTAGTTGCTCTAAATCATCAAGAATAAAGAGAACATTCATTAGTCTAATATCAAAATCTCATTCAAAATATATTTAAAATATGTTTGTTGCAGCACTATTTACAATAACAAAGACTTGGAACCAACCTGAGTGCTCATCAGTGATAGGCTGGATAAAGAAGATGTGGCACATATACACCATGGAATACTATGCAGCCACAAGAAAGAATGAGTTCATGTCCTTTGTGGGGACATGGATGAAGTTGGAAACCATCATTCTCGGCAAACTAACATAGGAACAGAAAGCCAGTCACCACGTGTTCTCACTCATAAGTGGGAGCTGAACGAGGAGAACACAGGGACACAGGAAGGGGAACATCACACACCGGGGCCTGTCAGGGGGTGACGGGCTGCGTAGGGAGAACATTAGGACAAATATCTAATGCATGCAGAGCTTAAAACTTAGATGATGGGCTGATAGGTGCAGCAATCCACATGGCACATGTATACCTATGTAACAAACCTGCACACTCTGCACATGTATTCCAAAACTTAACATAAATATATATATACATAAAACATTATATATATATATTTAAAATAACTTTCCCCTTAGCTTTATATTTGCAAAATGATTCTTCCTTTTTAATAATTCTTTTTTCTTTGATTTTCTCTTATTTTTCTCAACCTGTCAACAACTTTGGGAGAAATTGATTCAATTAATCAAGTGATTAAGTTGTTCATTTAATTAATTGATCCTTGGTGGTAAACAGCACTAGGCTATTTATCTTTGGGTTTCAGTATCCCGCCATAAACTGATAACTTTAGGTCAATACCAGCTGCCTGGTCTGTGGTTTGGTAGATGGCTGTGGTTTGCCATGCAATGTACCTAAGTTTATCACTGTAGAGTTAAGCTAGAGTCAATAGGGAGTGTCTTTACATTTCTACTCAAGGTATTTGTTTTGGTGTCAGCAAAGCCAAGTTACATGTTGATATTTATGTAATGAGTCACACATGAAAATATGAATCAAATTGCATTTACTTCAATTTAATCCAGTAATATTTGGCACTGGCACCTTGGAAAGTGTTTCTGATGTACTGTCTCCCAAATTCCACTTAGGACGGCACTTAACTGTCATTGCTTGTAAAAATGTTGCCTAAAACCGATAAGCTGCTCAGTAGCAGTGACTGCTTCTCATATATCTTTGTAGTCTACTTTCCCAAACATGTTTTTTTTGTATACAGCAAAAATTCCAAAAGTTAGCTGTTTTCATCTTCTTTTCTAATGATTTATCCTTCTGTACACAGAGTCCTTACTTGCTAAGGGCTGTTAATTAGCCCCAGTTCAAAGTGGAGTTAAAGATGCCTTCATTTTGTGTTTCTGAAAAAGACTTTCTGGCTCTTTCAGAATTACACGCTGTTGTTTATTGCACAGTACTAATAGTAAATTGTATGTTTTTTTAACACATTTTTTTAAAAAGTTTTCTCAGAATTAAATAAAAATATGTTTTTATGAGACTTGTTTTAGAAAATAGAGATATCATTCCATTCAGATGGTGCCTAATTTGTGTATTCAAAATGTGTTCAGTTTTTCCAGTAGTGCATTTTATGAGACCGAAAAGTTAAGAATGCATATGTGTGAAACCAAATACATTGTTGACTCATTATACACTTTGTGAAACAACTGGGAAATGAGATGTTGATTGATGCCTGGTCACTGTGGTTGTGTGTCTATTGCCAATGAAAATGTAGCTGAAATACACAAATATTTTTAAATGTGCTCTATGGGTGTGTCCTCTTTGCCAGAAAATATGCTGCAGAATTGTTATGTAAACACTTGTGCTATTCCCACTGCAAAAACATTTTGCAGATGTTTCCCTATGAAAACATTCTAAAACACATACTTGGTTATGTTTGTTTACCTTAAATTGTTTTTAATAACTTTCCCTTTGAATTCAGCCTATTATAGGTTTTTGAGAAACAAGATTAATGATTTAGAAATAATCTAGCTTAGGTTATTTATTACAGTGTTATCTAACAATTTTCTGTAATTTTTATCAAAGAAAAACATCAGTAATTCAAAAGAAACAAATACACAAGAAGAAAAGGTGAGGGGCAACCCAATTCTAAAGTCTGTGTGACTATTTTAACCGTGTCCATGTAGGATCGGTGTCTCCAGATGTCTGTAAGTTTGTCTCATGAACTCCATTCCTCTCCAATCCAGCTAGAACCCTCACCTCTCATGCTTTGCAATGCAGTTTGGCAGTTGAAAATGAGGTCATGGTAGAGGAGAAAGCATTCTGTCCCAGGAGAAATGTAGAGTTGGTGATCTCTAATCGCTACAAATTTCTAATGAGTTTATGCCATTTTTATGTACATCTAGAATCTAGATGAGAAATGAGGCACTATCAAAAATTGGGAAAAGGAGATAAAAATGAGGCAGATGGATTTTTAAAACATGAAACATTTTTAAAATACTTATCATTATGTATAAAAGAAAAGAAAGTTGAAGGCATTTTTATGTCACTTGTGTGATAAGGACTCATATAAAAAAAACCCTTTAAGGTTGTGATTAAGACTGCCATTTTACATAAAGAAGTCTTGGACAAAGACCCAATTCAGCTGCTTACAACTTGTGTAAACTTGGACATTTTAGTAAATCTGTCAAAACCTCCTAATAATACTAAAAATCTTAATAGCTAACCATTGAGTGCTTACCATGTGTCAGACACTAATGATCTAAACTTGTTATATTATTAAATTCTCAAAAAAATTCTCTAAAGTAAATCCTATATTATTAGCCCCATTTTACAGAAAATGAAACAGGCACAAAAGGGTTAATAATTTTTTTTTTTAATATTTGGCAACCATTCATATAGTGCTTGCTATGTGCTGGACCCTTTTCTAGGCACTTTACAAATATTAATTTGCAACATATCAATTATGTTGAAATTGCTATGGTAATACTCAATTTATAGATAAGGAAACTGAGACACAAACAGATGAAATAACTTGCCCAGAGTCACAGTAAGTAGTGAAGCAGGGATATGAACCTGCATAGCATGATCCAGACACCACACAAAAATCACTGCCTCTTAGGGCTACTGTGAGGATTGAATAACATGTGTTGGTACATGATAAGCATAATAAAATGTTAACTGTTATTAGGAATTTAAAGAGTAGGGAAACTGTCACCTAAGATGTTGACAAATCGGAAACACTAATGATACGGAGAGGATGAAAAGTAGGCACATTTTCAAACCCTGTCCTTTCACTGGGAAATTTGAAAACTAGCAGGAAAGCTAGTGGACTGGAATAGAATGAGCAAGACAGGGAATAGAAAATGAGGTCAGACAGTTATCCAATCACAAAGAGCCTTCTAGGCCATTATAAAGACTGACTTTTGTTCTGAGTGAGATGAAAGGCCATTGGTGAGTTTTGAGCAAAGTCATAAAATGATCTGACTTAAACGTTTTAACAGGATCACTCTGGCTGCTGTGTTGAGAAAAGAACTGCAGGGAAGCAAGGGCAGAAGTATAAGGTACTATTATTTCATGAGGCAGAGAGGTTATGTAAATTGCCCAGGGTCTGTCAAAGAGCCAGTAGGCATCAAACAGGGTTTCCAACTCAAGCCTGCATGAGTTAACCATACATGATGTTGAATGAGAGAATGATGATGAAGGCTTTTAAGTCTCCATATTGGATCCAGCCACAAAGTGTGATGTGTGATATTTTTCTGAGAATTTGCCAAAAAAAGTAACTTGTATAGTTTAACAAAATTTTGCTTTTCTTAACAAGATTTCTAATTATTTGAAAAATAGCTATGCTAGCTAATACTAATTCTGATCCATTATCTCTCTGTAACCAGGTAATAATGAGCAAACCTCTCCCTCTCTCTCTCTCTCTCTCTCTCTCTCTCTCTCTCTCTCTCTCTCTCTCTCTCTCAAAATGGGGTCTTGCTGTGTTGCCCAGACTGGGGTGCAGTGGCTATTCACAGCTGTGATCATTGTACACTAACCCCCAAACTCCTGGGCTCAAGAAATTCTCTTGCCTCAGCCTCTCGAGTAGCTGGGACTATAGGTATGTGTTCTTTGCCTGGCATATATTTTTTTAATGAGGTTTTTCACCAAATAATATTTTGTAACTATAAAATTTGGCATCATATTTTATATTATGATAAGTCAATTTGCTTCAAAAGTTATATCCTTTGTGACTCTGGTAGTATTATCGTATAGGAACAACTAAGCCAGAAACCATTTCTGCCATGCCAAGGCAGAAACAATCCTATCACCCAACTCAATGTCTGCTCAATATTTTCTAGCTGGAAAAATTAATAAATGACATTAAAAATTAAAAGTATTTTAAGGTACAGTCCAGGTTTCTAAGAATCAATGCTGACATTATGCTCACTGACTATGTAAAGGTTTCTCTTTACATAGTCCTTATTTGGAGATAATTTCAGAGAGTTCTACCAATAAAGTCATTGAGGAGATTAAAGGCCTGAAGCAGTATTCAGATTCCTAGAAGCACTGAGAAAAATCATACTACATTTGTCAAGGTAATTAATTAGCTGTTGTAGAAAAACAAATTTTAGGGGCTTGAACCCTAACATAGGTTAATTTCTCTCTCACCTCATGATCTCATCTGGGCTGAGTGGCTTTCCTAAAGAGCTGTCTTCCCAGCCGTGACTTGGTTGCCTCGCCCAAGCTCCTTCTACCCTGTTGGCTCCACCGTTTCCTGAGGTCGTTACAAAGTCGTTGTTTGGATTATCTGCATAATAATGAGTGAAGAGAGAAAAATATGAACATTCTTATAGGACCTTTTACAGGCCAAGTTTGGAAAAGGCATATTTTATAAAATGATTTCGCCAAACTCAGTTACAGGGACAGCCCAAGTGCAGGGGAGCTAGGACAGACAGAGGAGTGAGCATTAGCCATCTCTGCCGCAAGAAGCCAAATCCCTAGGTTTGCAGCCAAAAACAGAGTTTACTTTCAGTGCTAGTGGTCAGAAAATACATACTTCATGGTAAATCTGGGCCACTTGCTAAAACATTAAAATACATACTATATACATTGGTGATTAGATGTCTTTTCTTATACAAATTAAAATATTTATATGCTTCAAAAAACTTTACATCAACATTAAAGATGAATATAAATGAACGATGTGAGAGAAAATTGGTGATAGGAAAAACAGTAATTGGACACAGAGGAGAGATTGGGAAAGTTGTATGTAAAGTTTTACTTGAGTATTTACTTAAACTGTGTTTTTTTTTTTTTTTGAGACAGTCTCGCTCTGTCACCCAGGTGGGAGTGGGGGGGGGTTCGGGGGCGGGGGGGTGTGGGGAGGGGTGATCTTGGCTAACTGCAATCTCTACCTCCAGAGATTATGACAAGATTCACCATGTTGGCCAAGCTGGTCTCAATGTCCTATCCTCAAGTCATCCACCCGCCCCTTAAACTATTTATTAGAAGAGTCTATTTAAAGTTCCAGGCCCAGCTCAAAATAATCCTCTCTTAGGTCTCCTTTAGTACTTCCCTCCTAATAAACAATATTAACTGTTCTCTTATCTGTGTTTCTATGGCATTTTATACTTGTCTAATGAGTATAAACTTGTACAAATAGCTTTTTAAACTATTGTAGACCTTAATCTTATTACATTGCTCCTATTTGTTTATGTGTGAACTCTTGAGGATCTGAAAAATATTTTAGCTCAGAGTACATAGTTAATAGATCTTTAAGGCATGCAAATCTGATAGGCTGTTTTCTCTTTATTGGATTCTCAAGTTCTTAAGACCAAGCTCAATTACTTTAAAAGATGGGAAAGACATTTCATGAACTGGTCTACACGTATCTCTCTACCTTTCTTCATTCAGACTCTATGACTCAGCCATAATAAACTCATTTCAAATCCTCAAAAGACACAAACTGTGTATCACCTTTTGCAACTGAGGTTCACTCTTCCTGAAATTCTCCTACTCAGTTTTTAGCTGAGTCATATATTTATCCGAGAAGCCTTCTGTGAGTGTTCTACACTTGGAAAGATTCCTTCTGTCTTCTTCCATATCAACCAGTACCTTAAAGCAATACATATTATTATTTAATATAAATACTCATTTTGTTGTCTCTTTTCCAATAGACTAGATTCTTCCTAAGGGAGATATTATTTCTATTGAAAACAGTATCTCTCATAACCTACACCAGTACCTGGCACATAGTAGTGGCTAAACAAACATTTGTTAATAAATGAATTTAAAATGTTCATTGGAGTTAATTAGCATTTGTTGTCAACATTTATTAAGAACAACTATGTGATACATAGTTTTTCTAATTTTAGAGTTTATCCTATTTTTTGTGAAAACTGCTACTTTTCACTACTTACAAGGACAACATATCAAAACCCATCTCAGTAGTTCTTCCCCATAAAACTTCCATCACCACACACAAAAAAAACCACCCTCAACACCCCACACACATACACCTATCACCCTGCAACCTGCTTTTCATCCTTATTCTCCTACTTCATCACTTCCTCAGTAAATCAGGCTTTAAAATCCCATAAATCTTTTTTAACAGTTCTCTCAGATCTCATTAGCTACTAAGCCCAGTAGATTTGACCCATGAAAGATATCTTGAATTCATCCTTTTCTTCCCAGTCCTACTGCTACTCTCAAAGTTCAGGTTCTCATTACTTGTCACCTGATCTAATTCAATAGCCTCCCAGGGTGTCTCTTCACTTTTATTCTCTCCCTCTTCCAATCTACTTTACACATTGCAGCCAGAGTAATTGACCCAAAGGTCAGTTCACTCCCCTACTCGAAAACCTTCAGTGACTCCCCATTTTTAACCAAAAAGAACAGCAAATCCTCAGCCTGGTATTCAAAAGCCTATATAATCTGGCCTCAATTTATTTTATATTTTCCAGTCTTATTTTACAGTACTCCCCATCACGGGAGCCAAACTGGTTTTGTTTTCATTTCCAGAACTTGCCTTGTACTTTCTTACTTTTATGCTTTGCTCATGTTCTTTCTGCTAAGTCTGACCTCTCTTCCTTCCTACAGACCTGCTGTCTTCTCTCACCTCTCTCTATAGGGAGCTTCAAGTCACACCATGTGGGTGTTTCACAAATTGAATGGATGGAAGTTTATAGCTAAGTAATTCACTTCTGAATATCTTGGCTAGAGTGTTTCCAAATATTTTTCTATTTCTTAAAAAAATTCCTCTCCTTTCTTTGTTCCATATTCATTCTTTATTTTATTGTTTCTATAAACTTGTTTAGGTTGATTATATGTTCTCTTTCTATTTCTCTTCACTCATATATTTGGTTCTTTTTTATTGTATTTGTCATAATATAAAGAACTGAAGTCACTTACTGTACTATAAAAATTTTAAAACTGGTTTTCTTAAGCAAACAAATATATTTAAACTTTAATAGAATACTCCACTCCTATTTTTTATAAGTTGAAGATATTGGAGGTGTTTCAAAATCCAGTGAAATATATTTACTGGGAATAATCTTACACCCATACAGGAAACAGCAGCAATGCTTATAATATAGATTAGCAGATAAACTCAACTCATCCAACATTTGCCATTGTTCCTTTCCCATTTAGTTGTTTAGGTATTCCCAAAAGAGAATATTGCAAATATGAGTCATTAAATATTCAGCAAAATTTAGGTTTACTTAACTTAAAATTTGGACAACATTTTTAAAATTAAAGAGAACATCTACTTCTGGCCGTGAGGTGGTAAGTAAATCAGACACAGATTCCTGTTACAACAACTAGAAGACACAACAAAACATCTGAAATAACTATTTTCAGACATTAGATCTCTGGTAGCCCAGATCTGTCATCACTGAAAGAAAACAAATTAATGAAGTACAGTCTATATAAAGGCACTATCTGGTATGAGGAACTAAAGCAAATCATGGCAGCATTGCAAAGTTGAAGAGACAGAGATCATAGTTTAACATAGGTAAATTGGCTGGGACTTGGTGGACAAAAACATCAGCTAGGGGGAAGCTACACAAATAAATAGCTCCATAAAGCTTCTTGTAAGTCTCGCATTTTTTGCCAACTTCTAAGATGCACACGTGTTACTGTGAGATGCTTTGATGCTGAGCAAATAATTAATGGAAGAAAATAAAAACTATTATTGGGGACTGTGAACTGAGCAATTTCAAGAGATCACACAGGACTGGAACATATTTAAGTTTTAATCAGCCAGAATGAAGAGATCTCAATGAACATTCAGGATTTTGATAGAGATTCCAAGTGGAACATGCCCTGTTAGCAATACTAAACCAGCACTAGAATAGAGTAAAAAACACACCATATCTGTCATAACGAAACTTAAAAATAAACCTAAAAAATATTAAATTGGTGAACAGAACAATTTAATTACCTTTTAATATAATATTCCATACTCTTTAAAGAAAATAAAAACTTTAGAAGTTCAACAATATAATTATAATGTCTAGCATTCAATAAAAAATTACTAGACATAAAAAGAATCAAGAAAACATGACCAACAGTAAAAGAAAAATTATTTTAAAAAGACTCAAAATTGACATAGAGTATGGAATTAGTAGACAAGAACTTTAAAAGAGCCACTATTCATTTATCCACATACTTAAATGTAAACATAAATAATAAGTAGAGAGCAATGAAAGAGCTAAAAAATTGGAAGGTGAAGGTGGGCAGATCACCAGGTCAAGAGATCAAGACCATCCTGACCAACATGGTGAAAAACTATCTCTACTAAAAATACAAAAATGAGCTGAGTGTGGTGGTGCATGCCTGTAGTCCCAGCTGCTCAGGAGGCTGAGGCAGGAGGATCGCTTGAACCTGGGGGGTAGAATTTGCAGTGAGAAGAGATCATGCCACTACACTCCAGCCTAGCAACAGAGTGAGACTCCATCTCAAAAAAAAAAACAAAAAAAAAGCACAAAAGTAATTTATATAACTAAAAATGAAATGTAAAATATAAAATGAAATAGTCACTGGACATGAAACAAATTAAGAGGTCAAAGATTATTGAAGACATAACAAGGGAAACTGCAAGATAAATTATAGAGAGAACAAAGCTAGAAACTAAACAAGGTCTGGGTGACTTTGAATTAATATTAAACATTGTATTTGAATAAATGACCAAGTATTTAACAAATTTGATAAAGCCAACAAGCTTACAGATACAAAAAACTAAACATATTTCAAACAGAATAAACACAAATCTACATCAAGGTTTATCATAAACAAGATGCTAAAAATAATGAAGCAACCATTTTTAAAGCATCAAGGAAAAAAAGACATTACAAACAGAAGAGTAAAGATAATAAGCACTGCTGATATCTCATGGAAACAATGCAAGTTAGAAAATAATTCAATATGAGATCATTAGTGTGCTAAAATGGGAAATAAACTTATCAACCTGGAATTGTATAACTAATAAATATATATCATTAAAAAGTAAATGCAAAATAAAAACATTTTTTAGCCAAACATATCTGAAATAATTAACTTTCAGTAAACATACACAACAACAACAAGATAAAAGAAGCTCTTTAAACTGAAGGAAAATCATCCAGACACTTGAATCCACACAAAGGGAATGGAGACTACCAGAAATGTTAAATATTAAATATGAAAAGTTATTTTATTTTTTATTTTAAATTATTTTGAAAGATAATTACCTTTAAAAGATAATTGTTAGTAATATATAAAGAAGTAAAATGCATGACATAACATAAAATAGAGGATGGGC